CTGGTGTTTGTTTGGGGGGGAGGGGGGGGGGGTTTGTTCAGTTGTTTTTTTAACTTAGAAATTGATATGAAGTTACTGTAAAAAAACATTTCAAATAGCATCAGTCCATGACATTTGTCTTAATTATTACTACTTACAACCACAGTACACAATGAAAGAGACATTCTGAAGCTATGTGATCACTCAGTGATTTTCTCAATTTTACGGCTAGAAATAGTAGGGGATTAGGTTTGCTCACAAGCACTCCTACAATATTAATTTGGCTGTACAACAGACAAATACAACTGCTTACCTTGCCTAGATATTACTTGCACACTGAGTTGCACTGTTCCATCTGTTTTTACTCCTTGATCAAAAAGGCTTCGATCTGGGTCCAGCTTGATAAAAGAAAAAAAAAAAAAAAGAAAAGAAAAGAAAAAAAAATTAAAAATATGTATTAGTCTCACAGTTATAAGAAACTTACTCTCCTTTTAACTTTAGAAACACTAATGTCTGCAGCAAATTTTCTGAAGAAGCGTGCAAATATTTTTAGTACTATGTAGACATAGTACATGATAGAAAGAATTCGATCGGAATTTGAAACTCGACACTTTGTTCTGTTTAAGGTAGCTTCCCTTACAGGGACATTTTTTAACCTAAAAAACAGCAATGCAACACCTGGAAGTACCTCCACTTTGTGAAAAGTATCTACAGTTCCTTTTCTCAGTTTTCAGTACCTTTATAAAAACTCTTGTCTTTAAAGCAGTATTCTCCCTGTTGTTTCTGGAGAGCCACAGATGTCTGATTATAACTACAAATAAAACATGCAGCTAAACACAACGCAAAACAGTTATGTCTAACATGTGGTGATACCTGTAAAAATAGCGTGTATGTGTGGAATTTCTCAAGTAATGTTTTGCTATCTATGCACCTGAATAGTATAAAAACCTTCTCGCTTTATTCAAATTCAAATCCAGATTGGACTCAGGGAAGTTCAGGCAGCCAGCAGCAAATGATGTGGGCTACCTCAAGACAAGACAGTATTGTCGTTGCCCTCATTCTTCTTTCACTTGCAAGGTGGTAATTTTTTGCTTTCTTATCCTCACCCCAGGATCTCCAGAAGTATTTTGATTTTATTCACACTGAGTTAGTGTGTACATATTAAATGGTCTGATGATAATGAACCTGACGTAAAATTAAACCCTTAATTGTAATTAATATACCAAATGAAGCATGAATTCCACAAACAATTGAAGAAAGGAACGATGTATGTAAAATGCTTCTCCATTAAGAGGTTAAATCTTTCATAGCTTTTCAATTTACCTGGATATCTTGCAGGCAAATTTCATGTGCATCCAAGGAACACTGCAGTCTGGGTTCCAGCAACTTCTTAAGATTTCCAATTGGTTCATTGATGTCAATAGCCTGACTCACAAATTCTGCTGTGGTGTACGTTTGCTCAACGATGCTTAAACAGCAAATAAATATAACAAACCATTACCGACATGTTAATACAGTAGGTATAGGAAAGCTTAAAAAGTTAGAACAGCTTAAAAAAAGCTAGAGTTAGAATCAGTCACGTCATGGCTGTCCTGCACTAAAATGATGACACAGTATTGGCATAGGCATTCAGAAACATCAGTGTTATGGGACTCACGTCTTAAAAACGACCATAGACAGTTGGTGTCTCTACATTTATACAGCAGGAAATCAGAAAGTATACAGACATAAGTCAGTTTGTAAGTAGTAAAAATATACAAGGAGCTGAGAATAAGAAGAAACTAGTAAGCTGCTTTGAATCAGTTCTCCAAAACAGGTTCTTAAAGAGCAGGTCACCTACCAGCCTCAGCTATTTCTATGCAACACATTATCTGCCTCTCTGCGCTTTCAAAAACAGTTGTAAAAATTAGGAGGGAAGCGTTAGGAAGAAAAAAACAGCTTGAGGTAATTAAGTCAAAGGCTATCAGACATCGCTATCTATGGTTTCAATGGCCCTAACAACAATATAGTCAATAGATACAGAACATCATTTCTGCTCTGTTAAAAACAAATGACCCTGTATAATAGTAAAGCAATGGACTGGAGAAACTGAGAGGTTCATCTCAATTACAGAAGGATACAGTGAAGCTGAAAGGCTTGCAGCACGTACATGTAGACATACTCCTACAGACATGAAAGCAGGGGAAAAGAACTACTAAGAACATAGCAAGAGATAAACAAAACAGTTTGGGATTTAAGCAATTAAGACTGAAGAACACGATAACCCTATCCCGGTTTCCTACAGCAGCTACAGTTCCACTTCAAGAAAACCATAATTTAATTAAATAAGAAACAGAAAAACTGAAGAGAGCACAAGCAAAACTAAGACCTTTGTATTGAGCAAGAAAGTTGAAAAACTGTGGAAACGATCAATGGTAGGATTAGGGAGATCATACTGAGCCAGTTACTTCTGCCAGTATAAAGTTACTTCTTTCGCCTAGCTAGAAAACACTTCTACTTATTTCATAACCATGGCCATCTCTGAAGCATTACACAATACCCAATAATAAATCTGAATAACCAAACCTAGCGTGTGCAGCCACAAATCTGAAACCAATTACAGAAAACAAACAAATAAATGAATCGCAGCCTAAGAACCCCAAAAAGCAAAGACAGTACATACCTTTCTTCCGTGCATTCCTGTTTCTCAGTTCCATCAATTTCTATTTCTATCAGCTCCTCTGCCTCTCTCTTAGTCATGGCTAAAATGTCTTAAGAACAGAGCTATGAACAGAAAAGAATTTTTTGGTAAGTGACAGACCAACAAAACTAGATGATGGGTCGTGTCCTATCAAGCATTTTTTAAACCAAGTAACAGGATAGCTTTTTAAAGACAAGAATTCACCTAAAAAATAAAGCCAAAAGCTAATACAGATTTCACAATATGACAATGATGACAAAACCTGTTCCTCAAACAAATGTTCTAGGGGCAAACCCAGGACTATAAATGGACATGAGCACAGAGCCCAAAGCCTGTTTTTCTTGGAGGCATCCAGATTTACTGAATGTTTTTGTTATGGGCCAGCTACAGCTTTTAGTGGCTGGTTGCAAAGAACTTCTGAAAATTCTTTGAAAGTTATGTGTATTATGCCACCTAGATTCAGCTACATATTACCTTCCTAGCAAGGCTGAAAGTTGCTGCATATAAATTTAAGCAGCATTTTGCATAAAATGCTGCAACAGGAAGCTAGACAGAAGATCCATGACTTCCTCATCAGTAAATAAACTCAACAAAAAAGCGTTTATTGACTGTCCCATCTTTCCACCCATCTCTCTCACGGGCAATCACTTGATGATACATGCATAATGAGTGCATCTTGTTAAGTTCCAAACTAATGCAGTATGTTAGCAACTAAAAGGAAAGCTATTCTGTGATGATATTCTCATTGACACTGCAGATTCTCACACCCTGTAGAATACTGGAGTCTGTTGGAACGTAAGGGGGAAAGAAAGAATCACAGCCTTTGGTCTGTAAAGACATAGTTTGTATAATATCATCATGTTTCACTAGCCATCCCGTACATCATAAGTATGAAATACATATGATAAAGAACTGGGCCAAGTTACATTAACAGTTTATGACAAATAATACCACCAACTCATAGGAAAAGGAGTAGGAATCAGGAGTACAGAGGAAAAAAAAAAAATGACAGTAGAAAAAGCAAAACATGTTACTATTTAAATATCCACAATAGGAGTGATTAGCAAGGTTTCCATCCTGGAATCATTCTTTCTTGGGACTACTCTATCCCAAACCCAACTGTTAGTAAGAGAATTTATTAAAGACAAGTTAATAAGGGAACTTATTAAACTTTAAAATTTCTCAAATGGAATAGTAACCAACTGAGATGTACAGTTGTTACAAAAAAGGTTTAAAGAAATTCTAACTACTCATCTTATTACCTCCTTCAAAAACTATTACATAAAATTAGTTTTGAAGAAATCAAGTGCTGCACATGATACCAATCTACCTGCACATGATACCAATCATGATACCAATCAAGAAGCTACCAAGACTAGACAGGAAGTAAACAGCACCTCACTGATACCTCACCACTAGAAGCAAAACCAGAATCTGTTCTGCTCACAGATCTGGCTCTGTGAAAATCCCCTAACTGCCAGGGTAGGATCCACTAAACAGAGTCCTGGGAGTCCCATTTCCAAATCACTTAATCTTGTATGTCATCTTCATGATAAATGGGGAAGAATGAAACACCATTTCTGAAGAATTCACACAAGCTTAATTAAACATCTGAAAGAACTGACACCTGCATGGTTACAGGTGATCTGGTTGACTGTTAAAAGATTTTTTGAAGTTAAGGTTTGAGCAAAGTCCCTTACTGAAAAGTCCCAAAGCAGCTAACTGGTACCATAAAAAAAGGGGAAATTCTTTCCTACATTAGCAATCAGATTAAAAACCCAAAACAACAAGTTACCTTTTTTTTTTTTTGTGTGTGTGAGGAAGGGAGTTTACCAGTAAGGTCACAAAAGGGGTTAGGCTAGGATTTCTTTTCCTGGACATATTCATAACTTATTTACTGAGAAAACTGTGCAGACCTGCAGAAAGAACTCACCATCTTGAATGATTTCTGGCAGAAAACATTCAATATTGGTAAATGCAAAGTGAGGCACAGTGAGCAAATATAACAGCACAGTAACTGTATAGAATTAGGTAAGACATTTTGAAGTCCTTATGGACTGGACTCCAAATTGGCAGATGGACTAGTAACTGTTCACTCACTCTTCAAAGGTGTTTTGCAGTTGCATCTCGCAGGCTCTACTACATTTCTGGTTACCCTGGGGAGGTAGGAGCGGGGAGCACAGGCACAGACAGCAGGTACAGAAAGAGGAAGAAAGATGGTTCCATCGAGCACAGATGCAAGAAAGGGAGATGGCGGGTGGAAAGAGGAAGAATAACATTATGAAAACACATAAAGTCATTAACGGTTCAGAGAAATCTAATGGGGAAAATTATTCAATCTTTCCTACGCTAGAATAGAGAGACTCCTGATGATATAAACATTTCACAGGAAGTCTAGCAAAATTTATTGCCACAGGATGATGCAGAGATTGAAAGCATACATAGGTTCAGATGGCACTAAGCTTCCTGAGCCTTCCCTGAAGGCTACTGAAAAACAACAGAACTCAAACAGCCTGGTTTGCTGGGAGGGCCAATGTGGTAGGAATACCACAACAGCAGCATTTGTTTGGAGGAACACGTAAAACTGTGCTTGATTTGTGAAAGTTACAACCTACTGACTTCTGTTTGGTTTTTACTTTTCCTTCAACATAAAAAGCCCTAAGGCTTACCTGTTATCCAAGAAGGAATCTGACCATAATGCCCAACACAGACCTCCACTAACACAGGAGAAGGCACCCGTTAACAGAGCCTTTTTCTTCCCTGCATAACAGCCCAGTGCTATGCCAGTATCTTTTACAGCTTGGAATTTGCAGTCAGGGGAGAAACCCCACAGTTCCATTATGATCTATCTTTTCTTTTCCCTGGAACACAAGGAACTAAGTAACAAGCCCATCGCGAAAGGGGCACAAACTCTACTACTAGAATGAGCGTTTGTTATCCTACCAGGTAACTGTGAAGTGGGGGCAACTGCTGGAGCCCATACACATTACTGGGTGATACTGAAGCCCGGTCACTGGAGATACTCGTGCTCCCGAGATGCTCGGGTGGTTCAGCTGCTCGTGGAACATTTGGTACTAGCAATCCCTCTTATCATTCAAACTGGTAAAGACCAGCACAGACAGACAACCTGTCCTTTACAGATCAGCTTTTGCAAGTTATCAGCCAGTTGGGATTTAAGACAAAGACAGCGGACCACTGAACGGGGTGGAGCCATGCCAGATTTCCACTGTCTGCCTTCCTTACCAAGTCAGAAGTTAGACAATAAATCCGAACTGGGAGAAGTGGTTGTGCAGCACGTACCCGGCCGAACACCAGGAAGCAGACAAAGTAAGATGCCAAATACCCTCTTACGTTTTCACCCACAACGAGTTTTCAGGAGCGGAGA